CCCCCCAGGTCATCACAAAGCTGTGTACTTTTATATCATTTTGTGTATACTTCGTGTACGTGTGCATGGCTATTCCTATGAAATCAAGAATATGGGTCTCAAAGAACACTCTCAAAGGAAACACGTGGATTTGTCAGTGAGCTGGGGGTGGAAAACTGTCTTGCTCCTATTCTTAATACAGATAGTGAAAGCAAACATTTTTAAAAGCTAGTTGAACACAACTGGGCTTTACAAAATAGCAAGGAAGCAAGTCTTGTAGATTGAAAAGAGAATCCCATAAAAAAAATCTTGATAAACATTAAAAAGCAACCTTGAGGGGCTGAGGTATTTCAGGAGCAGCAATCAAAAGAATACCACTGAATCTGCCATCCATAGCCTAGGGAGCTAGACTTTCCCACCACATCCCTTTCCTTATTTATAGGCCTGTCTGGTTATCACAAGTTCTCAGGGACTGTCATTATTTAAAGGACTTATAAATATGCAACAGGTATTTCATGGGAGAAAATGCAACTGAATAACTTCCAATCACCCTGAGATGCAGGAAGGAGGAGAGCCTGTCCTACTGGCTCTCACCAGTTCCATGACCCTTCAGCCATGCCAGGGAAAAGTCAACAGCACTCGGATACCTCCTTTCTGCAAAATGCCCTGTCAGATCAGAGTGAGGGCATGGCAGTTTCCATACCTAAACCCAGCCCCTCCATTTTAAAGGGCTACACGCTCTTATTTGTGCAGGAAAGCAGGGTTTTAATTTAACCGTGTTCCGTAAGCAAAAGAAGTGGAAAGAATTCTACGCCTAATCGTTGTGGGGTTTTTTTTCCTCCCTTGAAATTTGATCATATTCCTAACTTTAGTCATACTGCCTGGTTTCCTTTCCTTAATGGAGTGAAATTTATGTCTGTGATTAGAGAATTGGCTTGGGAAAACCATTTGAGTTTTTAAAGTTACATGTTTTAACAATAATAGATATGGGAACCCTGGAAGAAAACCAGTATGTTTTGGATGTTAATTCAGACATCATAATGACTTGCTATTTCAATCCACAGTTAGTAGGTAATGGTGGTATTAGACATATTCAAAGGGGGAAAAAATTGAGTTGAAAGTTTTCAGAAGGATAGCATAGTGATAAATTTAAAATTATAGCCTAGATGTATAGCTTTTGGGCTAAAATGTCTGGAATTATTTTGAAAATAAAGAATAAGGCGACATGCATTAAAAGAGTAGCTTTTCGGGAAGTGCATTTACTACAAGCATGACATGAATTCTAACTTTCATAGACACAGGAAAAAAGAAATCAGATGTTCTTTGCTTTATGCAATAGATACGTTCCTTAATTCAACCGTATTTTTCAATGTATCAGGGAAACTCACTAGAAATGAAACGATGTGGTCAGACCTTTAGGGGAAGAGGAGCAAGGCCACGAAATGCCTTTTGCCCAACACAAACAGGCTAAATACCTCCTGGCTGGAGGCTGCTGGGGGTGTCTAGGAGCTCTGTCCTCAGAGCTGCACAAATCTGCATGTAAATATCTCTACCTTCTTGCTGTGTGACTTACTGAGCCTCATCTACAAAATGGGGTGTTAGCAGTACCTCAACTTCAGAGGACATTATGAGAATTAAATGAGATAATGTACTAATGTACGTAAAACAGAGAAGACATTAATTACATTTCAGTTCCTTCTTCCTTCCCACCCAGTTTTTATGTTGGCTCTGCGATACTTGAGTTGGAAGAAAGGACTCCCAATGGAAAAAAAAGAGGTGGATGTAGGGGTGAAAAGGAAGAGCTGCCTGGGAGCGGCCTGTACTTCACTTGGAAAAACAATCTCAATTAAAGAACCAAAGAAACACCACCCGTATCTGAAGCAAAACCTGTGGACAACCCTCTCTTGTAGCACAGAATGCTTTTTCTATATGAATAATTGCCTCCTAATGCTTTTTTTGGTTTTTTGTTTTTTGTATTTTTTTTTTGCGGTACGTGGGCCTCTCACTGTTGTGGCCTCTCTCGTTGCGGAGCACAGGCTCCGGATGCGCAGGCTCAGCGGCCATGGCTCACGGGCCCAGCCACTCCGCGGCATGTGGGATCCTCCCGGACCGGGGCATGAACCCGTGTCCCCTGCATTGGCAGGCGGACTCTCAACCACTGCGCCACCAGGGAAGCCCGCCTCTTAATGCTTTTAATTTCTAAGTCTTTCTAATCAAGGCGTACTTAGTCATTTACATAGCTGAGATATTATAAATATATAATTTATGTCACCCACTTCAATACTGTTCATTTAAATGCTACGGGCCTAGGATACTGTTTGTCCCCAAACAAGTATTAAAATAGTTATTAATTCTAACAGCATGATAGCCAAAAAAAAATTTCCAAAATATCATAAGCATAGCAAAAATGAAAAGCCAAATCTATGCTCGCAAGCGGTTATTTAACATACAAATTCTAAATTCTTAAATATCACTAAAGCATATAGCATTCTCCATAACATGTAGGAAAGTACATTTGAGAAGTCTAAGCGACTCTTGAGGCTTCTTAAGAGGTTAATGACGTTAAAAATACAGGATTAAAAATTGTATAGAAGTATTTTCTGGCTAAGAACTTTCATTTTCGTAGACCCTCACTTGCCATTTCCATCAGTCTCTCAGGCGACTTTGGGTGAAGGTCCATTTTTCACAAGGAACCAAATGTTGATCACTTGACAAGAGTTGCGGGCTGCATCAGTCGGGACGCGTGAAGAACCACAGAATCACCCTGAGGTGCTGGGCACTTTATTCGCTGCAGAAGCCACTTGTTCCCACACACGGGATGAAATGTCAGCGCTTTGGGCCTGATGGAGATTATACACCATCATGGGCTTTTAGGATACCTCGTGAGTAGGTGGAACTGCCAATATTATCTCCCTAAATGCCAAAGGCCAGCACTACAGATAGAGGAATCAGGATGCAATTAATCACATCTAGCACAGACAGGAACTGAGAGCAAGTAAGACATGTTTTAAATCAACTTTAAACCTAGTGTCTTTTGCAGACATCTCTCTTTTTTTGAACGCGGATGGGTAATAGTCAGATATCTGTGGGCCATCCATGTCCTGCCTTAAAGAGACCGGTCTGATGATAAAGCGGTCTTGACTTCATTCAACAATCTAAATTAGCCAATCTCCTTACATGGTGTGAGAAGTCATTTGGCAAGGAGAATTTTCAAGTTCATTTCTTTCTTTGTTCTCCATGTCCCTGAGATCTACCTACAGAGCCTGGTTTTCTAGACAATTTGCCACAAGTTGTTTCTTTGTTTTTGTTTTGGTTTTTTAATTATAATTAAGGACTACTGAAACATTTGAGACTCTTTTTATTCCACATTGTAAAAACAAATAATCATTCACGTAAGTTACAAAATCACTTCAGTAAAGAGGGGGAAAATTATACAAGCTCGTGATTTGCGTAACCCAAGTCCACACAACTAGACTGTCTCCCATCTTCTTTTAAACTTTTAACTAGTTCTTTTGGCATCATATTTAGATGGTTTTACATAGCACCAATCCTCTAATTAAAATATTTAAATAAGATTTCATGCTAACATGGCTTTATCCTAACATTTCTTAAACGAATACAGAAAAAAATCCATTAGAGTCAATTCTCGGCTCCCCATTTCCACCAACATCCACTCCCTCACCACTGCCAGCCCCAAACTGCTTTATTGCAGTGGAATTATGTTATAATGTTAAATTGCTATAATTCAAGTTTCCAGACTAGAGGAAAAGCAGCCGTAGAGGTAGTCGTTCTCAGGCGAATTAGCAAGTGAAAAGAAGTGTGTTGTAGGAAAACTCAGGGAGCTGGGGAAGGAACTCCCACAGGCTGTTTCCAGGCCCTTTTACCCACCTCTCACCCCCATCCCTCTGTGTCTTCCTGGGGTTTTGTTGTTGTGGATTTAAGCATGTTTGAAGTAGTGGGAGGACAATTGAAAGGTGATGGCCACTTGGTGCTGGGGCTAAAGAACCTTGAAGAGTTCAACTCAGGCTCCCACTACTGCCCACTCCGTCTCTCTCCTCAGCTCCTAACGCCCTCCATGCTCAGCTGGGTCCTTTCCAAGTAAAGAGTGGCTGAAGCAGGGACCAGAGAAAACATTTCTGGAAGATAATTCCTTGCTGTAGAAAATGAGCTGTAATCAAATCAATAAAGCATCATTCCTATGAGCCTCTACCTGACATAGAAATTACATTGTTCTACCGAACACTCCTTTGAAATGAGATGCCACCGCTCCCCACACCCCTTCATTGAATAAAGATTCATTCAGAATTATTACGTGTCAGGTCCTCTGCCAGACACAGGGGGGAGACACAAAGATGAAATGACAAAATGATGAGCCCTGCCCTCAACGTGCTGGGAAGGGGGTGGTGGAGGGAAGGAGTATAAACTCTAACTTCTCTTTGTAGCTCTTTTTCCCCTTTAATCAAGCCCACATGTTTAACGCAGGGGAACTGAATGTGGTGAGGAGGGAAGGATTATAAAAATGTTCACTTTCATCCTACAGATATGAGAAAATAAGAACATATTGCCATTACTCGACAACTTTATGGCTCCGAATAACGCCAGCACACAGTAAATCAAGGCAGCCCTGCATGGGCTTCACCGAACGGGCGCCTTACGTTTGCTCGGGGAGGGAGCCCCGGTGATGCCAGCCCAGTGCCCGGCTGCCCAGGGCCCCAGACGGGAGGAGAAAGGGCCGAGGATGACAGGAGCCCCATCTGCTCTCAGAGCCAACAAAAAGCCCACCAACCCCCAGGCCCTCCACAAACCTTCCTTCTCTTCTTAAGAAATGACAGAAATCAGGAAATATTACTTCAGCTTGCATGCTTCTGTCCTGGCCTATCAAACCCACAGAGAAGTCCCAGCAAATTACTGGAAACTGCACTTTGAACTTAGCCCCTGGCAAGAAGCCCAGTCAAACACAAATGTAAAAAGTTCCTCTCCTCCGAGGGGCCCCTGCGCCAGGGTGTCCCTATAGACACTCGGAGAGCTGATTGCAACAGGTTGGAATGAGGCCCTGAGTCAGGAAAACAAGCCCTGACCAGTATGATTTCCTACTGCCTGTGTTGTTTCTCAAAAAAGTTTTTTTTGGCTTGCTCTCCCTCGTTTTGTTGGACTGGGTTACAGGCTCGGGTCCCATCGAGGAAAAGACTGGCACCATCTTCACAAAAATGCTGGATCGTGTTTGGTTCCCAAACTGCTCCATCAGCCCCGCTGGTAAGTCGGGTAATGTCAGGGGACAGCAGGGGTCGGGGGACCGGTCAGGCCAGTTGCTAAGCAAATTCTCTGAGCTCCTAGGGCCTCCAGAAGTAATTAGCTGGTAAACCCTGAGGATATTTCCACCTCCCACAGGGAGACAATCTTCCTCTGACCACTAGACTTCACTCCACGGTGTTAAAAGACACCAACAACAGGGGCTGTCAGAGCACAAGCACCTTCTGTGGTGCCAGGTCCCCTGGCTGCTTCTCCTTCTTCAGAGGAAACGACTAAAACATTGGCCTCTTTCTAGCTCTGTTCTATTTCTAAGAAAACTCAATTTGCACACACAAATAAACTGACTCATTATAAAACTAAGAGGTCAAAGAGAGACAGATAACACTGAAGGTTAGACAGCTGGAGAAACAAGACTCTATTCCAGCTGCAGTGGGAGCTCCTTGGAGGAAGCGGTAAATCCCCGGGGGAGCCATCAGCGACCTGCGAAGTGGAGAGGCTGCCCTCCTCCTCCACTTTCTGTCAGATCAAACATTCCTTTCCCCGGTACTGAAGCGGATGCAAATCACGGCCAGGTCGGCCAGCAGTGACCTAACTCTCCTAATGCGCACTTGTTCTAACTGCTTTCTCATAATGGGGCTTTTCCCTATGATACTCGCATTGTTCCCTGTGTTCTCTCTACGGATCTCGCAGGGATTGCTAGAACTGCTTGTTCCATCTCTAAGCCCACAGCTTCCCCCCTTCCCTGCCTCCCTGACCTCTGACTGACCCAGTTCTACAATAACCAACAGCCAATGAGCACCACACAATTCCCCCCCCAAATGCTATTGGTAAAGTCTCCTTTATAGGGCACTCCTGGCTGGCCCTGGCATATTCCAGGGTGCTTCCCAGAGCTTTGGCACTGTGATTGTTAAAGCCGAACGCTACCATTTGCTCCCCCTCTCCTACCTCCCAGTGGTTCTAGGAGAAGTAATTCAAGAAGAACAATACACCCAGACCCCATATAAAGTCTACCAAGATGGTGCGTTCAGGTGAATTGCCCTCTCATCCATGCATTCAATACGCATTTATAATGATTCGCCCTAACAAAGCCAATCTTACCATGTAGATCGCTCTCAGGCGCTGTGTCCTCATCTACAAAGTGACCTGGAAGAAAAGTACCTAACACTTCGGGAGGTTGTCCCAATAGATGGCCAGTGTGAGTGGTCACACTCAGCATAGGGGAGAGGCCCAGTGAATAGCTGGAAAGAGGAGATTTGACGCAGGATAAGAGGTCACACCGGGAAGGGAGCCTCTGGTGCCTCCCAGGAAAGTGAAGCCTGCCACTGTATGAACCTCCCCCCATGAGAAAAGGGCAAGAACAAACAGCAGTGTCAGGAACTGAGTTTGGTGGATATCAGGCATTAGAGCAGCGTGCCTTGAACTCAGGTGTCACAAGAAGCCCCAGGAATGCTTGATCAACGGGCAGACTCCTCAGCCGTCCCCAGCTTACTCCCAGAGGTTCTGATCCACTTGTCTGGTCAGGCCCCAGGGGATTCTGATGCTGGACATTCATAAACCGCAGTTTGAAAAGCACTAACTTAGAGAATGAAAGGAAGAAGAGAATCAGGAAGGGTGAAAACAGAGAGGCGTGGAAGGCAGCAAGAGACAGTCTAGAAAATGGAAGAACCAAGATGGTGTAGCAGTAGTTCAGAATGTAAAAAGAAGACAGGGGCTTCCCTGGTGGCGCAGTGGTTGAGAATCTGCCTGCCGATGCAGGGGACACAGGTTCGTGCCCGGGTCTGGGAGGATCCCACATGCCGCGGAGCAACTGGGCCCGTGAGCCACAACTACTGAGCCTGCGTGTCTGGCGCCTGTGCTCCGCAACCAGAGAGCCCACAACAGTGAGAGGCCCCCGCACCGCGATGAAGAGTGGCCCCCGCTCGCCGCAACTAGAGAAAGCCCTCGCACAGAAACGAAGACCCAACACAGCCAAAAATAATAAATAAACTAATTAATTTTTTAAAATCTTTGCATACAATGTGATTTAAATAAAAATAAAAAAATTAAATGAAGAGAGTTTGCCAAGAAGCTGGGGTGGGGGGGGCGGTGGTGGGAGGGATAACGGGGTGGCCAAGGACTTCTTTTTTTTTTTAATTTATTTTTGGCTGCATTGATTCTTCGTTGCCACACACGGGCTTCCTCTAGTTGCCACAAGCCGGGGCTACTTTTTCTCGCATGCGTGGGCTTCTCATTCTGGTGGCTTTTCTTGTTGCACAGGCTCTAGGCATGTGGGCTTTGGTAGTTGTGGCACACGAGCTTCAGAGCACAGGCTCAGTAGTTATGGTGCATGGGCTTAGTTGCTCTGCGGCATGTGGGATCTTCCCGGACCAGGGATCAAACTCGTGTCCCCTGCATTGGCAGGTGGATTCTTAACCACTGCACCACCAGGGAAGTCCCCCAAGGATATTTAGATCTCCAGCAAGGCCTGAGTCTCTATAAGACCAAGTCTCCATAAGACAAAGATAGGAAGTAGATTATTTTGGTTTATTCTGGTTAATGCTCAAAAATACAATAAACAAGCATTCTTAAATTCGTATTATGCCAATATGATGTTCAAGGGAAAATATTCTAAAACTCAAATTAACTTTTTCAGAAAAGCAGCTTTATTCAAGCAATATGGACAGTTGGCTGCCTGGAGGTATACCACTAAATCACCAGGATCTGTATACTAATAACAACAGGTGATGCATTTGTAACCATCCACTTCTTCAATTCATTAGTTACATTAAAGACCCAAACACATGTTCTAAGCCAAGGAGACACAGAAAGCTGGAAGAACTGAGGTTGCAAAGAAGGCCTCCATCTCCATTCAGAAATCCAAGGAACCAATGAATTTCAGTTGTGTCAAATCACATGGAAGACTAGAGCCATGTGGCTGATGACTAGCCATGTGGGTGATGACTTAGTGAGGGGAAAATTCAGAGCGCTTCCCCATCAGACAATGTACTGGTGCCAAAAAGCCTTCCCACCCTCCCCCACTCAATCTCCATTCATTGGACCACAACCACCTTTTGATGACAATAGAAAAAATTATTTTTACTTACCCTATAAAGAAGGCAATACAAAGATCCACAGCATATAAAGCAAAGGGATGAAAAACAGGAGAGACAAGATGTCCAGGAGATCCACCGTGTGACTAACAGGAATTCCAGAGAGAGAGAACAGAGAATGTAGCATGAAGAAATTATCAAAGAAATAATATGAGAAAATGTCCCATACCTGAAGGACACAAGTGAGGGCCCATTAAGGGAGCATCACACTGAATAATAGAAGATTTACAGCAGAACACGTCAGAGTCAAGTTGAGAAGATCCTAAAAGCTTCCATAAAGAAAAAAAGGTCACAAATAAAGGACCGGTGGTCAGGATTGCTATGTCACTCCTCAACAGCAACACCTTCACCCAGAAGACAAGAGGACAATGCCTTCAAAATTCTGAAGGGAAGGGATATCCAAACTCTAGGTTTATATAACCAAGCATACTAGTAACTAACACTCTATAGGACACGGAGGCTGGGTGGACAACTCTCTCTTCTCTCACTGAGCATGGCTTTTTTAAGCATCCCCCCCCCCCCCCCCCCCCCGGCTAGGGATTATCCAGCCCAGGTTTTCTCTATTAAGGAGCTGCTTTTACCCAGGCAAGCTGCACTGAGAGCTCTCCCCATAATACCCCATGCTCAGTGGATTTAAACTCTGGTGCGTGACCTCACAACCCCTTGCCTTAATCTTTACTTTCTTGACCACCTTTACTAGTAACCTTGCTATCTGTCCCCACTCCCCATGCAATTTGGGCCCTCACCTCCACTTTTTTTTTCTTTTTTTGGCCACACCATGTGGCTTGTGGGATCTTAGTTCCCTGGCCAGGGATTGAACCTGGGCCCTCAGCAGTGAGAGCACAGAGTCCTAACCACTGGACTGCTAGGAGATTCCCTCCACATTTTCAATGTAAGCTTTTCTCCAGGACACAGAGGTGCTGCACACGGCTCTTTACATACACTCCTCCTAAATGCAGCCCCACTTAGCCTGTGCCACCCTAACAGTGGACCTAAAACAGGAAAGGTCAAGTGGGGCCCAATGGAGGCTCAGAGCAAAAGGGAAATAAGGGCACCTGCTACTAAGACATGCCCCGGGACGACAATGGAAGAGTGTTGTGTTTTGTCCGTGTTTGAGCTGTCCAGTGTGGAAGAACACACAGGGATTCTGGGAAGAAGCTCTTTTAAGAAATAGGCATTTTCCCAGAACATCATCCTTGTCATAACTCTCAGGATCCTTAAGCCTAACGGTGGAAAAGAATCTCTGTGGAGCTCGGGTTCAGCAGAGAAGAGGTAACCCCGTTGCCTTACTCCATCATATTAACAGAACGTCCCTAAATAACAACATGGGCCCCAAAAAGCATCTGAGGCTTTAGGACATCCTAGATATTAGGATTTAAAAAATTAGGTGAACTTCCTTTCTATTTGGAAATGTACAATACAAATTCCCCCAAAGTTCCAGTCCTGGTGTACCACCAGCACCATGCTCAACCTGTCCAAAACCTAATTCATGACCTCCTTCCCTAAAACTCCTCCTCCAACTTCCTTATTTTAGTTACTGGCATCACCAGCATCCCTTTCACGTGCTTCTAAAATTGGGTGTGTTCTTTGCATCCTTCCACGTGCTCACACCCAGCTGATGAAATCCCGTCAAACCTGGAGAGTCCTGTTGGCCCTCCTCTGCATGAGCTCCCCCTCATTCCCCTACCCACCTTCCCAGGGTCACTCCAGTTTCAGGTTCTCATTCCCCCCACCTAGTCCATAGCTTCCCAACTACTGCCGCTAAATAAGTGAATCCAGGGCAGAGTTCTGATCATTTTCTGTAGCAGAGACCATACAAAGCTGCCTTCCAATGTCACTTTCCCTTCTCTCTTAGTAACAGAACCCCAACTTTCAGCTAGTCACATCCCTGCCCAGAATAAAGTGTACATTTCTTAGGTGCCCTGAAACTAAGTGTGGCAATAAGACTCAGTTCTGGCCGATGAGATGTAAAAAACTGGGTCGTGAGGGACCACTGAGAAGGCTGATTAAAGTGAGCTGACTCAGCTGGGATGCGTGCCCTTTTTCCTTTACACTCCTCCCAGCCTGCAATGCAAGCATGGTGGGTGGAGCCCAGCACCCATCGTGGACCATGAGGTAACTGTGAGAAGGAAAGCCTGCTTCGCTAAACAGAAACGCAAAACACTAGGAGGGGTCTGGGTCCCTGATGGCTGCATGGAGCTCGCGTGCCTGCCCCAAATTCGCCAATCTTGAAGGATCTTATATAAGGAAGTAACTCTTCTCTGCTTAAGCTACTATTTTTCAGGTCTCTGTTACTCACAGCTGCATGCAAAACATAACTGACCAAATTTTGCTCTCAAAAATCATTGGTGGCACCTGAATTCCAACGAAACAGTGTCCAGATTGGCCAAGCTCCCATGGCAATCCCAAATCTGGACTGAAACTTCTTTTCCAGCCTTGTCTTCCAACTTCTATCCTTCATGCAATTTATAATCCAGCCAAACGAAACAGCTGTGATTCCCAAGGAGCATGGCCATTACCCATGGCCTTCAAGAGAACTGTAGAACTTTAGAGCTGAAGACCTCAGCGAGCCTCTAGAGCAGTGGGTTTATAACAGTTGTTGTCGGTGAGTCTCCCTTTCCATTTAGTAAACAAATATCTTTCACAAAACTGCAATACCTAAAAGATAAGAGCAGAGCCGCTGTGATTTGAAAACCACTGGCCTGGTCCAAGTTTTTATTTTTTTTAAAGTGAGGAAACTGAGACCCATATGGATGGGAGTTGGTATCACGGGTCCCAGGCTGGCTAGCAGCAGGTCTGAAAACAGAACCCAGGCTTCCCAGCACCTACTCTGTTCTTTTCATTATTTTTTACCAATAGGTGATGCGAAGAGAGGTGCTCAATAAAAGCACAACAAAGTGTAGCAAGTTTTCAGATAACTATTATTTCCGGTTAAAGGAAGACGAAATTACACTAAACAAGGATTTCTGGGCCTTCTCAATCCCCATCGACTAGGTTGACTAGGGATACAACATAAAGAACAGGGGACCCTGGGTTAATTCCAGTCAATCTGGAATTTTCTGAACACCATGTTTCCTATTCGGACCCATGGCCAAAGGAGCTGCTGTAATTAGCCCAGCGCCCAGAGATGTGGGATTATATACCAGGTCAAAAGATGTGTCTCCCCGTGATACTCATAAAATCCCATGGACCAGTGTTTTACACTATTAGAAATGATCAAGATGCTGGCTTCCCTGAGAAAGCCACATTCTGTTTCATCCTTTAGTCCCCATGAGTGGCAAACTGAGTTGAAGATGCTAAACTGTGAGACCCGCCTTTGCCTTTGGGGTACTGGTAAAACCCTGACTCTACCTGACTGTGTTTAAGGAAGGTCACTGCTCCTCCGTGTAAAACAGAGAGGGAAGGAATCACTGAAAGGAAGGAACCTCAGAGACCATCAAGTTCCGCTTCATTGAGGTGAAGTTCTGCTTTGTACACTTCCTCGTTTTGAATTAGGTCCTTCTCTCTACTTGGATAATAAAATCACGGAGGACAAACAAGATGCATGTACAAGGTTAATGTCGCCTAAAGAAAAAAGAACTGGGCTGTGATTGTTGAGCAGGAAAAGACAGAGGAAGGGGAAGAAACAGAACTTGTGTAGGGTCCCAAAGGGTACTGGGGGCTAAAAACTTTCCTCTGGGCAGTTTGCCTGCTCTCCAGAGAGAGGGCAAGGAGAACAGTCTCGGAACCGGGGCGGAGAGGATGAGGCCAAATGCAACGGACCGCTCACCATCACTGCATGTTCAACAGACTTGGGTTTGCAAACGCACCTCTCTCCTCTGGAGTCGCCAGATCTGAGGCACACACAGCCTGACTGCGCACACAGTGTGACCGGGGGCACGTGATCTCGCTAAAACATCTGTAACGTGGAGATGATAACACAGTACCTATTTGATGGGCTGTTATGAGGAACAAAGGAAAGTGCCACACAGAACGTGGCACACGGGAAGTACTCAATAAATGTTAGCTATTACCGCATTGTACACTCATATATATTCCATCTCCCCAGCTAAACCATAAATCCCTTAAAAGCAGAGACCATGCTGTTACTTCTCCAATGCACACAGAATCCACACTTAGATGCTTTCGGTGTTGGTTGATAGATTAATGGGCACTGGAAGAGGAGGCCAAGCTCATTAGATTACATGTGACAGCATGTTTCTTCCAGAAACTCCCTATCAGCCCTTTATTTGGGGGAGAAAGCAGCAAATCCCCGCGCCTTTTAAAAAATATCAGTGTCCCCTATCTTCTCCTATTTTCCAGATCAAAGAAGAGAGCTGTCAAGGGCACGCTAGGGACGGCAGAGCCGGGGAAGTGACGGAGGGACGCGGTTCCCGGCCGAGGCCTGCAGCTCGGGCTCCTGCCAGGGCGGCTCGGCCCTCCCGGCGTGCAGCCTCCGCGTCCAGACTTGTGCCGCAGCTCCTGGGACACCCGCTCGGCCTTCTCCTCCGCAGACCTCGCTGCCTTTGTCGGGCAGCCGGGTTCACGCCAGAAAAACCCCATGGCCGGCCGTGCGGTTCACGCCAGAAAAACCCCACGGCCGGCCGTGCCTTTTCACTGGTAATGATCAAAGTGGAGGCCGTCGGGGGTGGAGGCAAGCACCCTTTCAGGAACTCTGCGTGCTTCAAATTCAGATTCAAAACAGCACTCGGGACTCTCCCGTCCCCGAGTTTTCGGAAACAGGGGCGCCTTCCCGGGGTGGCAGGTGAGGTCACGTGGCCGCCTTCCCAGCGGCCCTCGCCCCTCCCGTCTGGGGAATCTGGTTACCTGGAAGGTCGGGCCACTTCTCCCAGTCTGGGTAGAGGCCGGAGGGACTGGGTGCGGGGGCCTGGAGAAACCAGAACCCTAGGAGGAGGGAAACAGGTTTCCTTTTTGGGGGGCACCCTGCTGCAGGTGCATGTGGCTGGGAGGAAGAAAAATGCCAGTTACCTTTGTTCGTCTTGAAACAAAGACAGAAAGGGGGTGCTTCCCCGCAGCCCTGCCTGCAAATGCAAGTGACATGCGTACCTGAAGGTGTCCTGGGTGGGCACCAAAGACGCTGGCCGCCACACGCGGATGGGGCAAATCACAGGGTCACTGTGTAGGCAGTGGCTACTGAGGATGGCTATATAATAGGCGTATGATGGAAAGCACACCTGGCTCCTGCAGAGCCGGGGAGTGAAAAATTGCTTTTACGGAGCCATTAAGTGAGCAGTAGGCTGACGGTCTTCCACTGTGTCAGAACGAGGTTGTGCACGCTATACAATCCCAGGTATCGTGCGAGGTCTTCACGGAGCCCCACGTACGAACAAGTGTACGTGCCAACCGTGTGGGTCGTAGGAATATCCCCGCTATTTTTCCTTAAGACAAAGGAGGAACCATTTCCCTCCACTCCAGTATTTGGGGAAATCAGACTCTGCCAAGCCAGTTCCTCCGTCGGTATCGTCTGAGTTTACAGTCAGCAATCTGGAAGTTTACCCTCTAGGAAGGCAGACACCTCCACAGGGGAAATGGGACACCTTCGCGATTAAAACAACCAGAAAAGGAAGAAAACGCAGATAATATCCTTTCTGCCATCCCCTAATACCTTGAGGAGTTCAAAGGTTTTCCAAGCCTGCGGGCACTTGGCAATTATAATTACACAGTAAAATACCTAAGGTTAATGAATAACCTCTAAAGGAAGTTACTTCACATAATGACAGCAATTTCTCTGAACTAAATGTTAATAATAAGGCCTGTAATACTATGAGAAGGAAATGGTGGCAATTGGCAAATGGAGCTATGTTGCTTGGTAACAAGACCTGAGGTATGAACATTCTCTTTACCTCATGGGAAAGGGGTGGGTGGAAAGATTGCAGCTCCAGCCTGAATGGTTTGAAAGGTAGGCAGTTTATGAAGCCACCGGCTGTCCAGGGGTACATAAAGTGGAAGCATATGTGGCAGATCACTCTGTTAGCGGAGAGAAGTTTGAGGGGGAATAATTCCCTGAGAATTACTTAGCAGCAGTCAAGGAAATGGGGTGTAATCTGCAAAGAGACTGAGGGCAACCTAGTCCACATTACCTGGTACAAATCGCTGCTACTCAAATAGAACAGTTCAGCGAAATCCACCCAAGAGCTAAATCTTCTCCCGTGCCTCTCTGCCCCTGTTTGCTCCAGCAGAGACATACACTTTGATCCTCTTGTTTGTTTTTTCTGTTTTGCAGCAACTGTGGCATTTGAGAGATGAATTAGGAAAGGAATGCAATTAAGGCAACCTAAGAGTGCAATGTTCCTCACAGAGGAAGACGTGACACATTTGAACTGCAGGCGTACCTTTAGTTGGGTAATTATTGGCAGTCTGAATTGAAAGATCCTAGAGACAACTTCTTCCAGCTGGTCATTAATCAACAGGAAAGAGCCTCCAACAAGGTCGTTATTACCGTAAACCATTACAGGAGCATATTCAGTGAGAGGCTGAGATAAGACTGAAAGTTTTAAATCCCTGTTTGTTTTATGGCAGTGGTTCTCAGATCCGTCAAAGGCCCCATATCACCTGGACAGCCTTTAAAAATACAGCTTTCGGGCTTCCCTGGTGGCGCAGTGGTTGAGAGTCCGCCTGCCGATGAAGGGGACGCGGGTTCGTGCCCCAGTCCGGGAGGATCCCACATGCCGCGGAGCGGCTGGGTCCGTGAGCCATGGCCGCTGAGCCTGCGCTCCGGAGCCTGTGCTCCGCGACGGGAGAGGCCACGACAGTGAGGGGCCCGCGTACCGCAAAAAAAAAAAAAAAAAAAAAAATACAGCTTTCTGGGGTCCCACGCCTGGATATTGAGAAAGTAGGTCTAGGATAGTACCTGAGAATTTATATGAAATTCTCCATGGTATTCAAATCATCGGCCAGTGTGAGAACCACTGCTCTATGTTAGGAGGAGTTTCTGGCTGGACAAAAGACAGAACGTGAGAGTGTATACTTTCTTGCACTTGGAATTTAATGCAGTTCACTTATTTCCCTAAGAGAAATAGATCTACACATTTTTAAAAGAAGATTAAATATACTCATTCTAAATGCATTGTTTCATCAAGTTTCATTTTTTTAATATTAAAAACGTTTTAGAACGGATTGTAATACCAAAAATAAATGTACTTTCCGACTATACCAGCCTTTAATTTGTGGCCATTTACTGTAACTACAGTAGCCAAATACAATTATCTGCCCTATGAGCCTTAGAAGGCTCACCCTATGCAAAACCATAAAACGGGCAAAGTCTGCCCCCAGCCTTGGTTATTTTTTCATGGGGTTCCTTATCGAGAGTTGGCCAGTGCTTTCTAGAAGCCCTCAGCAGATTTCCCTTTCCCAAATTTTCCTTCACCACATGCTCCCTCTGACCTCTACCTTGGGATCTCTGATTTCTTTAAAAGCAAGAATAATCCTATGTTATTTAGCTATGGATCTTAATGGGCTAATGTTATAATGGCCAAATTACACAAACATATATTTACAAAAATTGGGGAGGGGGGGAAGAGAGGACTTAATTCAAAGGACTCTTGGATAGTGAGAAGATGTTTGAAGTAGATTGGGCTTCTGGCCCTGAAAATGACAATGTCTTACACTTAGATGGAGCCCTAAATCCTTAGAATCTCTGCATTTACTATGCACGGTGCAAGGAATTACATATGATTCAGACTTTCTGTGTTCAAGGAAATTAAAAGCCATCTACTAAATAATCAAGAGAAACACCATCAAAACAATTAAAAATAAGCACCAGTAGAACGTGTGGATCTCTTGAACCACCAGAAATGTTCCCTCACAAAGGGTGGAATTGACAACTAGACAAAAGTCATTTCCACATCTCCCAAATTGCATAGGGGTCATTAACATGATTGTTCTGAAGCCGGAAGCAGGTTTACCTTAACCTCAAATCCTAATTTATTGGAAAGTTCTTTAAAAAGAAATCACTACCACCATTACATCCATACTCTGGGATGAGTAGGAACCTCTGGAAACCTCCACTGCGGTGCATCTCTTGATGTTTAGAAGAACAAGACCTCTCAGTCCTGAACGCAAGGACACATGCCTAAAAGATCACAGGGACATGCTGATTCGCCAGCCAGCTTGAATTGAGGTCGCCTAACGTAGCTGAAAGCTGTGAGAGCTATTTACCCTCACATCTCATGGTCTGAAAAATGTCAGTCGTACAGAAATGTGATGGTCAGGCAAAAGGGAGCTATGCCTTCCCTGCAACACTGCCACCTCCCCCCTCCCCCCTGCCACCTCCGTCTACACTCTGGGCACCTGTGCATGACTCCAGTGATGCCTTTGCCATGCTCCCATGCTCATGTTGACCTATCTGTCTTCTGTGATGGAAGACAGGCTCGCTGAGGGCAGGAAGTGGATTTTACTCAGTCTCACTTTGCAGGGTTGAGCACGGTACCATAGGTACTGTCGGGGCGGTGTGGGGGGGGGTAGGAATTTTACTTCTACCCTCTTTGAGTCCCTGGCTGGGCCTGAGAATTAAATTGACATAAGATAGATTAACGGGAGAAAAGCATACAGGTTTATTGAATACAAGCTTTACAGGATACAGGAGCCTTCATAAGGAAATGAAGACACAAAGAAGTGGCAAAATCTAAGTGCATTTATATACTAGGTTGAACTAAGAGGCAATTGTGGAGACATAACTAAAATATATGGGGAGAGCAAAGGAAGATCAGAGTTATTTTAACAAGGTCTGTTTGTACAGAGTTCTCTTGGCCTCCACTCCCCGCCTCTGGTGATAAGAATGTTCCTTTCCTCCTGGTACCGGGAGGGCATCTTTCACATGAGAGTTTTATCTCCTGCTTTGGGGAAGAAAAAGGAAGATCAGAGTGTCCTTCTTGCCCATATGCCCAAGTGACATATTTTGGGGAAGCACATTCTGCCATCCTTCAGTACCAGGTACATTCAAGAGTTAGGTACAAAAGACTAATGAATGCATAAAGATCTGTGCTGCTAATGGTTGCTTTCTCTGGGTTAGCCGTTGTCTTCTATCTTTTTTTTCTTTTGAAAATAAAAAACGTTTAGTGATGCGCTTAGCAGTTAAACCTTGGTATGAGCCATTACAGTTGGTGATTCTTGTCCAGATTGGAAGCACTGATGGACTTGAAAGTATAGGTAGAGAACAGGGAAACCAAAGTCAGAGTGAAGAACCACAACTCTAAGGGGAAACCTTTTACTAACATTTCACTCTGTCCTCTGGGCGATCCTGAAGTGTCCCCATTCCAGTGCCTTCCCAACCCAAAGCAGAGATGGTGATGAAGTGGCCTGGTGATTAGCTGAAATGAGTTTGTCTCGTGAGCTACCGCTAGGATACTGAAGATACAGTGAGCGTCCTAACTGAGGCCTGAAATGGGTAGCAATAGTTTATCGGTGAATTACTTGTCCTTGCAAAAATGCACTCCTCAGAACCATCCTATGGCAATGTTTGTGCGCACTTGTAATAGATTCACATGGAGAGGGAGAGAGGTATGGGCAAGGTACAGAGGTTTGATCTTGGAATCTGGAGTCAGAGAGGCCTTTGTTAAATCTCTTGTTCCATCGTTTACCACTTGGATGACCTTAGACAGGTTATCTAAGCCCCAGATTTTTCATTTGTAAAATGGTAATAGCAATACACTTACTTTCTTGCAGAATTGTTGAGAATCAGAGATTGCATATGTAAAACAACAGGCACCCAGGCACGTAACCACAGTAGGCATGATATTACTATCATGTGTTTCATGAATGCTCATGAAACGGAACGGAACGGAACGGCACGGAACTTACTCTGGAATCCCTCTGGTCCAGATGCCGTAACCCATGGCTTTTACTTCTAGGACACACAGCCCGCTTTAGGCTTCCCATTCTTAATGCATGAAAGAGTGTTAAGTTTTGCTAAAGACTGAGTCTTTGTAACACAAAATGAATAAGAGATTCAAATATTTTCCAGTTAATTTGATCAGTAAACATGG